TCATTTTTGGCTTGTTTTTTGTTGGCATCTATAATGTTCCTTACTCCTATGAATCATTCCAACATTTTTGAAATATAGGAAAAGTCATGGAAATTACGCAAACTGTTACTTCCCATGTGTGCGTGTTTTGCTTCGTGGTACGGAGAGCAGTGTGTCGAACAATGCGCGGTTCCGCTGTCAATAATTTCTGGCCATAGCCCTATGCTAATGTCCCTCTGCCTCTTTTTTATTAGGTCGTATGTGGAGGTGTGATGTTCGGTTGGTTTAGATTTGTTGAATTGACCTCATCTGTTACTTATACGGCTACATTCAGTATAATTTAAATAAGCGTAACACCCATTTGTACCAAGCGACTGATGCATTTTTTGTTCCTGTCAGTCGCCTTAAACTGTACGAGCCTTCTCTTCTGAATATCTCTGAGTTTGAGACGTTATCCGACATACGTTGGGCGTTAGGTACTGATTAGGGCAATTAAACATAAGATAGTTTTAGGGGAGTATTGTGTTACTGATTGGGCAATTAAACATAAGATAGTTTTAGGGAGTATTGTTAGTTTTGGACAATTTCGCTCGTTATTTTTAGGACCTGAAGATGCAGAAGAGATCAAGCAGCATCCTTTTTTCCGTCACCTCAACTGGAATCTCGTGTTTGCTCGTGAGGTATCGTTTTTCCTGCGATTACGTAGTCATAGAGTGAATTTAGCCAGGATTTCTCACAGTGCTCTTTGTCCAGACGCGATTTATGGCTCAGTCATGAAACGTCGTAGTAACAATTTTTTTGCCGCCGATGTGTTATGTAGCAGCCAATACAAATTCTTTTCAACTGGAACTCCATTCAAACGCGAAATGAAGAGGAGGAATAGACGCCGTCATTGTCTTGAACACTACGATTCACAAAACGACACCTGTGGATTCTCCTTGCGATTCACACATTCAGGCGTAGTGTGAAGGCCCCAACATTTCATGATGAGACCTTTATTAACACCTTGACGACAGCGCGGCAACTAGGTTTGCCGCGTTTTGCACGCCGCAATGGACATTGTGGCAACTATAGTTGCCACACCCTTTACATTCAGTTTTTTCTTGAACGCGCCATTTCTTCCCAGGTTTTTTGTGTTCATTTTTTAGGCCATACCACAACATAACCAAGAACCACGCGGCTTATAGAATGACCAAATATTCTTTAGTTTGGCAGAGGTTTTTCGGACCGGACGAAAATATCCGTTCAGTTCATTCCTCATTTTCTCTTCATTAACACGAACATGTAGATAAAAAAGAATATTAGAAGTGAGTACAAAGCTACTCGTGTGGCAAGATATGTGTTTTTACCGAAACAACCACGTCCAAAATAATTTTGAAATCACTAAAGCAAAAGTAAGTGAAACTTGCCTTTTCAATGCTGTAACACATCATTCGACCGCACTTTCACATGTGTACCTTCCAATAAGTTTGACACACCGAATATCAGTGAAAACATTTTGTCGCATCGAAGTATTGCGTATTTAAAGCTCAAAATCCACAGATTTGTTGTGAGGCGGCGGCGCTCGCAGAACCGCTCTGGTCCCACGCGGCCAAAAATGCCAAAACGCGCGATGTCGTCAACGTGTTAAGGAACAGATCATATCGTCCTTTTCTGTCGTTTTTTCAATGAACAGACTTGTTGCAGTTTCACCGGAGATAATCCATTTGTTGGTTTCACATACGTTGCGCCATCGGTTCTGGAAGCTATGAATCAACCGGATCCTCCTTTGGTGACTCGCGCTCGTTCACCTCGCAAGCCTCACTAGTGAGTTTATCGATTTACGCCCCTGTTCCATTTTGAATAGTTTATCTCCCATCGAACTGGGCTTTTCTGCATATTTGATTCGTTACACACATGCTCCGTGTCTTATGTATTGTTTATAACTTTAAGTGGGAGCTCATCAGAACGTGATGCTTTCAACTAATTTTAGACAGTGTAGAAGTTTAGAGTCAAGAGCCCTTCTGGTTAGCTGAAGGCAACGGTTGAGCTGCTAAAGAGAAAGGAGTAATCAAAAATTTACCGGAGGACCAGTCTCAGAGCTCAGCACCTTCACCCCTCTAGAAGTCATTACAAATTTCATATACTACTGAATCCATATTTTCAAATTGTTACTGTTGTCACCTTTCTGCTCGGTTTGAGAAAGCCCATTTGTCGAAGTTGTGGTCACTGGTTCCGTACTCTTTTTTAACACCATGAGGCGTGGCCGCGGCGAGCGCGGACGAGTTGCTGGTTATCCCGCACTGTGGACCCGCCCCTTTAACGCCTTTACGCCAGCCGCCCGCACAGCGAGAGTGCTGCCGACCAGGGTGAATATTGGTCGAGGATTCCGCAGGATTTTCGCCTGACCAGTTAGTTCTCCCGCGCGGACATTCACATCGCCATGCGCGAGCCGTTTGTGCTCTCCGCGCGTACCTTCACTCTCTGGCCTACTCTAGCACAGTACAGAGCCATGGTCGAGGAATTCCTCGACCGTTATTCACCTTGCTGGCCGACTCGTCCCGCGCTTGTCGTTCAGCCACGTTTAAGTGTTGAGGAGTCACGGCCGGTCAGTTATACGAAGAAAATCCTAAAAGTTTGCACTCTCCAGCCCAACCCAGGGATTTATGACGATAACTTTATTTATTCCCGAACTTTGCCGTATCCCAGGTTGAAAAAATCTAAAATTGTCACTCTCAGCCACATTGGTTTTATGACGTAACTTCTATTATTCCTGAAATTTGAAGTTCCCAGGTCGACAAATTCAATTAACTCTAATCATGAATACGACGGAGGCGTGGTCATCTAAAGCTGCCGCGTTGAGGGCAGATAACGCTTCTCTGATTGCCTGGCCACTGATCAGTGCGCTGTAGCCCACGTTACAGCGCGATTATGCTTTAAGTGTAGCCGTTAAAATTGAAAGAAGTTTTTGTTTATCCTTTTTACAGTTTGGATCAAGGCCATATGCACGGTAATCATTCTAACCACGGAGCATCACATCTACTAACAAGCGGAAGTCCGTCAGTGTTGCCATCACGTGTAGACGATGCCATGGACACCTCGACTACACCGCGTGCGTCTGAATCACGCGGGAATCACCTGCTGCCATGACTAGCACGCTTGCTCACCCGCGCCACACGCGCAGTATTTCGTAAAGCCGCCAAGTTGAACTATGCCAAATATGTTGTAGCAGTTTGGAAATCTATTCTTTGTTATGTCATCTCAACAACATCATCATTATCATCGTATAGAAATACATTTTGATTGTTAATGTTGCGTACTACGTTATTAGGCGTAGTGCGCGCACTCCTAAGTTGCTATACGGTTTTGATTCCGTTTTGTTGTTCTCCGTCTATAATCCACTTCCGTCAATGCTGGTCATTTGCACCATCTGCTGCTCTGTCTTTCGTTTCCTGTTTCCCCTCATGTACTGGTAGTTGATAGATGAGGAGGCGGCGATACACTCGCGCTCAACACTGTTTGTATAAGCTCCGATTCGTCGAATGACAATCACTCATTCTTCATGCGGTCGCTTCAGCTCTGGGACCTTCAGTGAGCTGTCGCCATGCAGAGGATGGTCTGGGAGCCTGTGATTGACGGGCTGTGCTCGTAACCAATCGCAGACATCCATCCCACGCGCAGTGAACCACAACTCACTAGTCCACCAGGGTTAGGTCACCCCTTGATGTCTGATGGTTTTTGTCACCGACGAAGGTAATTGAGCTGTTCTTCGGGCTGTTTTCTTTGTGGCTGATTCATTTTTTACATACTTTACGTATTTATCAATTAATTAATTCATTGAATTGTCGTCTTTGTGTGTTTATGTTGCTAGCGAATTGTTATATGACTGTATACCCGTACGAGCATCGAAACGCGTGCCTTTACAGAGAGATTCACTATTATTTTGTTAGAGATGTCTTCGTCAGAAACGTTTTCATGTGTTGTTGCATGAAAAGATATTCGTTGTTGATCAATTTGAGCGTGAGCGTGAGATCGCCGCAGTCCATCGTAGCATTAATGACTTCAGATGCGGTGCGTTAGTCGCAGTCACACAATTTCACTGTCCACCGTACGTCCAATGCTTAGTTGCTCCATTCCGAAACAGCTGACATTGGGTGATACGATGGGTTAGCGTCGTTGTGTGCTTGCGGTGAATACTGAATCAGTACGAATCCTGGATGGACTACTGTGCGTCTCAGCTGAACAGTGCAAACGCTAGAATGATATGTTGTGCATCGAATATTGTCATACTTATGTTGCCAATTGTTATCTGTTTCTCATGGTGCGGTGCATGACATAGGATATTGGAGGCGAGAATTATAGTCTAATATGTTGACTTTATGTCGTCGTTTTCGACCTACCTGTCTGTCTCTGTTCATGTTATGATCATTTTCATTCATTTCCACAGTCTTCCCTTACACATATTTAACTGACAGCGGCGACTTCAGTTAATAATAGAGATTCTATATGACTCATAGCGAGTGGTGTGTCCATGCTGGGCGATGATAAAAGCCTGTTGTTTCTGCGATTTTTGTTCAATTATAAAAATGGGATTGTCTGTGGTGTACGTAGAAAAGAAAGCGCAAATGATATCCAAAAACTCATTTGATATCTTGCTGTTGAGTATAAACACGGACATCTGCCTCTTTCTAGATAAACGGCTAATATACCCTCCCTTTCAAAATACGAGAAAGCGTCGGGTGCAGACCATACACCACAAGTGACGACGGCCTCCAAGTAAATCTGGTTAGTTGTTCATAGGTGATAGCTGATTTTGGTAAATGATAGTTGTAATTAGTGACAAGATAGAATACAACTGCAGCAGGCTAATCATTTCATTGGCAGAAAACATTTACATTTTGTGGAGGCCGTCGTCACTTGTGGTGTATGGTCTGCACCCGACGCTCTTCTCGTATTTTAGAGAAAGGGAGGTAGGTAGGAAATCAAATCTGCCTTCCACCCACAAAATAAGGGCGACACGATGTCAAAATATAACATCTGCCAGCTAATGCACAACTGCCATCCCAGTCTTCCGAATTTTGTCTTCGTTTGGCTGGTATCTCCACTTACTCATCACTTCAGTCCAAAGGCCCCTTCTGTACATATTATTTATGTCTAAAACTACAGTTCCGGTCAGTCCATCTATCCTCCCAAATGCGCGGTTGACCCTGCGCGAACATGGACTCATAAAACGGAACTTGGCAGAGTCGACCTCACGGTTGTAAATAACATTTGCCAAGCAAAGAGGGTCCGGAGGGAATCCTGCAAATATCCCTTGTCTGATAGTGTTTGAAGCCTGCGTCTAGTTGGTACGTCGAGCTCCCCTCACCACGCTCCTTCCCAATGGTCCAGAACGGCAGTGGAGGGGAGGAGGGTGGAGAGGTCAAGAGGAGTTGGAGTGTGGGAGAGGATGAATGTAGAGCTCCTAAGACAGAAAAGTCGACGCATTAACATTCTAGCACTTTTTCTGTGAGAATTGTGAAATTCCCCCCTCCCCCTAATCTGAAAAAATCCTCTCCACTACAAGCACGGCCCCTTTTAAATCCACCACCACGATCCTTTTTGAAACGAACCTCCCGTCCAAAATCAAAACAAGCTGTCGTTGGGCATTTTTTGAAGAACTGTTTGAAATTGCTTGCCGGTCTTGCGTAACAGTCAATTCACACCGGAACTACTCTCGGATCTCATCCAGTAAGGGGGGGGCATGTGGTGTGACAGTTCTTGCCGGCTACAGAAATTCCAATTTTTGCAAGGGGAGGGAATCCCCGGGGTGCGTGAACCATTTCGCTTAACTTTTACACCCACCCCGGAGCTTCCCTCCCCTGAAAAATGGATTACTTCATGCAATATGAACTGTCGCAGCACATGCCCCCCTTACTGGATGAGACCCTACTCCCTATTTCGGAAGACGACAAGAGCGTCGAGTGCAGACACATTACAAGTGACGACGATCGAGAAAAAAAGTGGCTTCTTTCTTCCTTTGGCCCGTCAAGTCACCCATTGTGCGCTGTGGGGGTGGTGCACTTCCCATGCCCCTCTCTCTCCTCCTAAAGCCGGCGTGTCTGGGTCACGCGCATTCGTGATACGACAGGTTCTTATGGACTCACGGCAAACGAACATCGAGAACCTTTGCAGAAACCTGCCAGTTTGATGTCCAACAGATTTGAAATTCGAGCCGATTAAAGGCTCTCCGAAAGCTTGCAATGAGGGTTCACTTGCAAAACATTAGTGCATGCTCCAACTGGTCCTGAATGCCGTAATCGCTGAACCCATCCTCCAGCAACGCCATCCTTTTTAGCAAGGTTCAGCGAATGACAGCTTCTGCTCATTTGCCTCCTTGAACCATGCGACACGGTTCAACTAGACAGACAGCATTACACGACATCTCTGGGAAATCTGTTGCATGGGGAAGTGTGGCGCTTACCGTCCTTCAGGCGCGGGTCCGCAGGATCCGCATCCGGGACTCCGTGTTTCGGTGCTGCCGTCCCGACGCAGGGTCTTCCAGTCTCCTCTGGTCGGGCAATTGGTCTTCTGGGCAGATAAAACCAGCTCGAATTTTACAGGTCAGTATGGCCAGCCCCGCACGACAACGGTCAGCATTGCCAGGCGCCGAAACTCGCGACTTCACCTACACGCCCGGACGCGCGACTCTTTACCGAGATCTACACAAGATGGAAATAGAATGCGCTGTCCGCCTCCCGAAGGATTGATCACCGGCAAAGCTTTATCGTTTTTACCTAACTTTATGTTGCAGAAATCACATCTGACCAAAGCCTCCAAAACCCGAAAGGTTACACATGATATCGGAGACGATCCGGTCCCAGAAGAGAGGAACAGTTTCCAGTCCTACTCGTTATTCCATTTTATAAGGAGTGCTCAGGATATTGTGTAGATCCAAATCAGACCAGTCTGCTCACACGCTCAAGGCCAGTAAAGTGGTCGAAAAACTGTGGCAAAGGCACGCTGGCCAGGCGAAAAAGAATTTGTGTTATTCAAATCGAACAACATCTTCAAGATATGATTGTCCCCTTGCTGACTCCCAGCAATTCATCAAAGCCGCGTAAAAACATTACAAACTAGACAGAAGCTGGCGCTATCGCATGATAGGGGGCTATTAGATGGCGGACACAAGCGTTAAAAGGCAACTTACCTACGGACGTACCTGACCAGTGGGCGGACGGAAAGTGTTTTTTGCGACGGAAACAGCAGGCGTGCGCTGGATCCCGGTTCTGGAAGCCTTGAAGGTGAATGCGTTTCAGCCGTCGTCAGCGCTTCACCGCACTGGATCCGTTCCCCTACCATGCATTTTCGTAACGAAAGTCAAACCTTCCGGCTACCGCGTGCGCCCCGCTGGTCCATGGTCGCGTGGCAAGATTCCCTGTTAATCGCTCCGCCGCACCTTTTGCCCGCTCGACAACTGCGCCAGACGAACGGCAACGGAGCTCGCTCCTAGGACTACCAGCCAAACACCACCGCTTTTGGCCGCCTCTTCCCGGCCTGGACTTGACATGCTGCGAATTTGGGCGGATGCGCAGTCATCCAACGTGGGACGGCACCAACTAAACTCGGAATCCTCAGGACACCCCGCCACAATTGGTGATTTACATCGGAACTAAGCCCTTAAAGGAGCAGCGACCGAATCCGCTCCTCTCTCCCCAGGCTCTACATCTGTGGTGATCAACCGACCAGAGCCCTCTGGCACCCGCTCCCCGAAACACTTTCATAGCATACGGTCCCAGCGAAACGCCAAAGGGCTTGGTTGCTTCACCTCTCCTCCTACTCCGTAACTCACACCTATCGTCCGCCAACGCTTTTCCACACCTATTCTTAACTATCGTCCCGAATCTGTCTTAATACCGCGACGAATTCACCTACTGGGCAACGCATCACACCCATTTCCAATCTCAACTCCAGGGATGGTGCATCTCGGTACACGGAAAGCAACGCAAAGAACCATGCGAGAAAAGCCGGCCCCAAACAACAACCCCGCAGAAATGGACCGCCTTCCTTCCCGCGGCGCTTCTGCCGCACTTCGACTGCGACTCTTGTCGCTGGTGCCCCGTCCGTCACTATACATGCTCTCTCTGCTCATCTCAATCAAATCCACGTATAGATCTGTCGCGGCCCCGTGATTCAGGTGGCTCGCGTGGCGGCGGGAGATCGCCAGACGTCGCGCCAACTTTAACACCATTGCGTACCGTGTGCGCACAACTGGCCGGCGCACGACTTTCCTGCCCCGTGTGGCCGCGTGCGCCACATGGTGGCGCACGATTTCTGAATTGGTTTTCTTCACAGTGGCTGTCGATGTTCATTCCATGTTTGCGCAGATGTATGTTATCTCACTAGGAGAACAACATACTTGAGTGGGACATCTCCAGCTTGTGAGCTAATATTTTTATGTGACACTAATAAGAGCCTAGGTTGCTAATTAAATTTGCTTGAATAAAATACATTCTTTCGAGCACAATTCAACAGCAGTCACCGCAATCTAATGTAATCCAACTGAAGGCGGGCGAGTATTGTAATGTGTTTCAGCACCAAAAAGCTTCGCGTGAATAAAGTGATGTGCCAGCGGAACATCAGCGTAAAGGCTTTCGGGGCGCTTCTTCCACTTAACTTGCCTTTTGGCTGTATACTTTTGAAGTCTCGTGGTTTTAGGCACTCATCTTCATAATAACTTCTACTTGAAATCCTCCTACTCGCGCGCCTACGCTACCTCACGTATCAAAATCGATAATAAATGTTCGGCAAATTATGGTGTAATACACCCACATCCCTTGAAGTCCAGTGGAGGGTGAAATGCACCGATACGAATATCCTGCAAAGCTGAATAAACCTCATTGCTGTTCAATAAACATGCTTAAGCAGGTTGTGGGGTAAAGGAACGAACTTGTTGCCATCGCTTTTTTTCACCAGAACTTGGTCAGAGCAGATTTTTTGATCCCTCACTACCGCTGTTATATAATCATTCGATAGCCACTTGGAATGTTCATGACAATTCAAATAGGCAAAAATTATAACGTAGTCCTAACAAAATTGTGACTTAGCAAGACAATAAAAAAAACAAAGTGGTAAAGGACCCTCTAAAAAGGATTTTGAAAAATATCTGTCCCGTGTGGCCGCATGCGCCACCATGTGGCGCACGGTGCGAATGCATGCGCGGCCAGGCGAGCTCGCCAGCGCAAAAACGGCTTGGTACGCCATGTTTGAGGCATAATAGGTCGCCGAGGTCAAATTTTTCCATGCGAATTGCGCATCAGTTCGCACCCTCAGGAGGTCCGTGGGTCCCTCAACTAGGTGAATTACTTCTTCTCGACCTTCATTCTAATCGTGAATTCCTCCTTTAAGCCACGCGTGCAGTTTAAAAGTGTTGCAAAGAAAGCAACTGCTTCAAAAATAGGAATTAAGATGTTAAGGTATGTAAGTGGGTGTGGTCCCATGTCGTTATTAGGCCCTCCTCTATTGCAAATATAAGACCAATTGTACACAGTACTCACTCCACAGGATGCTTTTGAATAGAAGAGAGCGCAGGCGGAAGTAGCTAGCGGGTAAACAAATAAATCTCGGCTAACTACGTATGTAATGGCAAATTTCTTATCAAGAACATCAATTCCACGGAAAGAATGTGGCATTTACTGTCCAATTTGTATTCAATTCTTTATACAAAATACGGCCTGAGACCATGAAGCAAATAAGTTCTGAAGATATATCTTCCTATTTTCGCATTTTATCGTCGTACTCTCGCAGGAATCGCTGTCCAGTTGTTCTCGTCGATTCATTTAAATTAATATGTAGGAGGGCGTTCTCGATCATCACCCGATGAATGTAAAGGTATTGCACTTCCGTCTGTATACATTGAGCTCGAGCACATCTTAACTCGCGAGCGATCTGAAACATTATTGCAATTGCATCACTACTAGTAAAAATGTCGAGTTTTACCCTATGTGTGGCAAAAAGGCAGAGACGCAGACGGTTCAGCAGACGAGTCGCAGCGCGTACTGTAGTGATTACGCGTCAAATCAAATAGAATGTACCATTATACGTCCACATCGCTCAGCACGCGCTGCGACTCGTCCAGTTGCCCGTCTGCCTTTTCGCCTTCCCGCTGCGCGACAGGCCTCTTGTCGGGTACTGAGAAATTATGCACTCTTTAACGCAGGACTCGGCCTGTATACCCTAACGATTGCGCGCGGTTGCATTAAGCCATCTTCACAAGTAGCTAGCGTGGGTGTAGGTACTGTGAACCACGTAGCGAGGAATTTGGTCTATGACCCCCCCCTCTCCCCAGCCTTCAGATGGTCGACGGTGTCAACACTGTTGGTCCTGATACTACTCGAATCTACTTTAACACCGCCCCAAAACTCCTCCGAAATTGGCGTTGAGCAGAGGAGGGGGTGTGGAGGGCTATGCTGAGGCAGCAAGTTTTACGCCCTACGCCGTCACTTTATCTTGCGGAAACTCCAAATTAAGCCCCCGCTCCTTGTTCTACCAACGCAAATACGATCCCTAGTCGAGGAGCCCTCGGCTTGGTTCACCCTGGCTGCTATTCCAAGCAACTCAAACGGCCGAGGTATCCAAGGCTCAAGCAAAAAATAAAACAGCTCACCAAAGCTGCCGGCAGTCACAATTTTTTTACTACTAAAATAGGAGCAGCCATCCGTTTGCTTGCATTCAAGTCTATCAATCAAACAACTCAAACCCCTAAATGTGATTGGAACTGCATAAGTAAATATGATGTTTCGCACAGCGATATCACGTAAGTGACCAAACAAGGGCAGTAAGCCTTAAAGGCAGTGAGTACGACAAATTGGGCTCACATTAGTAAATGTATGCATTAGATGCGGTAGCCGAACAAGAAGGAAGAGAGATGTGGCGTTTTCGCGGCGGAAGGTGCGCTAGCTGTAGAATTCAAGTCAGAATTTCTGTTGAATTTTTATAGAGCATTTCGATTCTTCTAATAATTTTATACCAGCGACTCAAAAGAAAAAGTGACTA